ACATTAGACAAACACTTTAAAATAATTACCCTTTGGCACCTGCAGAATGAGAATAATGTGCCCAGTCTTGTTGGCACAACTCACTGAGCTGGGAGTGGACCTGGAGAAAATCCAGCGGTAACTCTGATATCCACAGAAAGATGGAGCTGGAAAGGGTCTCCATTCCAGAAGTCTATGCTGGGAGGCAGGGGACATATGGAAACAGGAAGATTATGAGTGGAACAGATAAGAGAGATATTTTTTTTTCACCATTTGCTGAGATTTTGAGCGAGGAAAACTGGGATCAAATAAAAGAAAATACTTCTTCATGCTACAGATAATAAAATTAAAGGAACTTATTACTTTCAAGATATGGTACTGGCAAGAGATGTAGAAGGATTAGAAATGATTTGAAAGGATTGTAGATGCCAAGAAAGGCTGGATCTCTCTTAAACATAAGGCACAGAAAGCAATGTTCCTTTGGTACTCACCCTCCGGGGCTGCTGCTACCAGGAGAGCCTACACCTGCTGTCCTGGATTGAGAATCCCTATAGGTTTGGCTCTGAGAGTTTCTGAGATGCTCCAGTCCTTTCACTCCTGTTTCTTATGGTCAATGCTTTGATGCAGCAGCCTAGCATCTATTCAGGGAAGAGGACTTGACTTAATGCCACTTCATTCATTCATAATTCTACAAACATTTCTTGAGCACCTCCCATGTGACAAACACCAGGCAAGAAGTGAAAAAAAATTATCATGGTCCTTGAGAGTAACAACAATAAGCAAAACAAATATATAATTAAGAATTACAAGGCTATTACAAGGCAAGGAACACCAAGCTCCAAGAGGAAGTGCGTGTGTGTGTGTGTGTGTGTGTGTGTGTGTGTGTGTGTGTGTAGAGGGAAGGCTGGGAGACTACCTAGACAAGCTGGTCCGAGAAGGACTCTGGAGAGGAAGCAGTCCATCTGAGATCTAAAGGGTGGGTGATATCCAGCTGTGCTCAGTGTGAGGAGACTGGAAACCAGGAGTGAAATGGAAACATGTACTAAGGTCCCAGGGAGCAAATGAGCTGGCTGGACTCAAAGCTAAAAGAGGCCAATGAGGCTGGAGCTTGGAGAAAGGTGGGCGTGGGGTGGGTGGTTGTGCCAGGCCCCAGGTGGGAGTGGAGGTTCAGGCAGAGGCCAGGTCACCCGGGACCTCATAGGCCATGGCAAGGGATTTGGATTTCATAATGAGGGAGTTTTTCAAAGTTAAAAAAAAAAATCAGCGATTCACCTCTTAAAGTTTTGTACTAGGATTGTATATGACTCTTCAGCCCTGTTACACCACGTGCAAACATACTCTACTCTTGTGTTTAGGTTGATTACTGAAATCTACAACTCTGTTCTTGGCCATTCTCCTGTGGCCATGGAGGGGATATCTGATAATCAGAAAGCTCTTGAGGAAGGAAGACCAGTTGGCAAGTCAAGAAGGAAAGAATCATTTCTTAGACTCTGAACCCTCCAATGGTCTGAAAGTTAGAGGGGCCCCTGGCCTATGGTGGGAACTCAGATGGTCACACACTGTGTCTCTTCATGGTAGGTCTAGCGATCACTTCCCAAATAAATTACTTGCATTCAAATCTATAGCTCCTGGGATGCTTCTGGGGAAACCCAGCCTGAATATTAGGTTGAGTTTAAACAAAGAAGAAAGATTCCTGACATCCATTAATTCTAGGTTTCCTTCCCTTAAAAAAGGTGGGGTGTTGGCATCAGATCCTATCTAGTAAGCAGCTGGAAAGCAGTGACAAGCTTGGAATCAAAAGCACTCATATAGCTTTTTCACAGTTTGACTGGCTTCATTACTAACTGATAAAACTAGACCTAGGGATTGAGAAAGTCACAGAGTAAGAAAGAATATTTCGATATGCTGAACATAAATGTGAATGAGATAAGCTGCAGTGGGGAAAGGGACAAGAATACTAATGAAATAGTTCAAAAGGAAATTTGTGTCATGGAGATGTAATATATGACTCGTGGTAATAAATCTGTCTGAAGTTTCTGTACTTCCTATAACCTCTGCGACCAAAGACCTTTTGTGATCTTTTGATGGTTTGCCATCTAAATAATCAAAAGTTCACAGGTGAATCAAGAATAGGATGTTTGGCACCGAAGAGGAAAAATAAAAACTCAGATTATTCTTCCAACACAAAATATTTGGTGGCACACTTTTTTATTCATATAATTTTATGTGAGTTTTTTCCCCTTTTTGTCTTACAATGAAGCCACTGTCCTGGGTTCTAGAACTGTGATTGTACTTATGGGGCTTTAATTTTTTTAAAAATGGGGCCTCACTATGTTAATTGGTTCACAACTTCAAGAACCAAGTTGCCTCTGCCTCCCAAGTAGTTGGGCATACAGGCACCAACACCACACCCAGCTCTTTACAGGACTTTTAAAGTCATGGAAAAACAGGAAATAGCATTTTGCTAAGGACAAAACTTAACCAAGAACAACAATCCACGCAATGATTTTGTGACTTTGTAGGAGTGAACCACATAAAATAAACACGGACATGAGACACAATAGATGAAATCCTAAGAGGTCATACAGATTCAGTCAAAATGCTCTTCCCTTGTCATCTTTTACCACATAGAGAGTCTGACTCAAGGCCGTATTACCCAATTATTCTGTTGGTTAGTTGGTCTACTTTTTGAGACAAGGTCTCACTATGTAGTTCAGGTTGGCCTTGAACTCACTATGTAGCCCTGCTGGCCTTGAACTCACAGCAATCTTCCTGTCTCAGCCTCTTTAATACTGGGATTTCAGGCATGTGCCACCATGCCTGGTTATATTACTTAATCCTAAATTAATGCCATGGCAAAGTTTTATTTTATAATGTTGTCCAGATATTAATATTTGAAATAAATGCATTTAAAAACCAAATATATCATTAAGTATTGTTCAAGTCTAACATATAAGACCAGGACCAACTGGACTCAGGGATGAAGAGGATTGGAGGGCCAGGGATTTAGCTCAGGATTCTGCCACCTTCTTTGCAAGCACAAGGTCCTGAGTTTGATCATTGGTACCAAAAAAAAGAGGGTTGGGGAAGGAAGTGAAGTATTGAAAGAAAAGAACTAAAGGAATCTTTCTCAGATGGCTCCCAGCCTGAGGGGGGGGTGTCTCTTTAAATCTATTTCGTTCAGAGAACCAATGAAATAATAGTGTGAAATAAAAAAGGAGGGGTCAACAGGAGATGAGCAGAGCAGAAAGTCACCTAAGGATGTATGCATGGCGGACCTTGGGAATGAAAACTAATGTGGCTCGTTCTTGCTTCTTTAGGTAGTGGACATGCTATATGTATGGGATTTTAGCTGATGGAATAAAACATGCTTTAAAATAGAATCAAAATTTTTTAGTTACAGATATTTATGTTGTGTGTGACTCTTTAGCATCAGGGGTAAGCTGTGTGCTGCCAAATGTGTTCTCCCTAAACCATGAACCCTACACTAGAGTACACTGTGAGGCAAGCTGAGTTTTCACACACAGACTGTCAGAAGTCTACATCAAGGTCTCAAAGAAGCCAGAGTGACTCTATGAACTTGAAAGTATGAGGTTGGGTAGGGAAATTGGGTCTCACTTTGTGGGGAAAACAAGCTTCGGCATCTAGTTCAGGGGCACATCTGTCTTCTCTATCTTTTCTTCTCATATTTCATTTCAAGTCCTGAAATAATTCAATTTGCAAATTCATTACAGTCCTTTTAAAAAGCTCAGATCTTTCAATGGGAAAGCTAAATGTGAAACCAATTGATTTTATAGTTGTGCTGAAGAAACTGCAGTTTTAAATTCTGTCTTCAGATTTGCTAAGCAGACTTCAGAATCAATGAAAGAAATTGGCTTGACTTCTCCACCAGGTAACTCCTAAAGCTTGTCACTGAACTGCAGTGCGTAGCACATGACTGGCTGCTAGATGCCAGGAGAGGTCTGAGGTCCACCAAACACTCCACAATAGAAAGAGCAGGATTTTAGGGCACTGTCTAGAGCTTTGCTCTACTCTACCTCTGCGTGTGTGACTATGAGTACTGCTTACTCCGCTGAGCCTGGAAGCTCACCTTTTAACTTCAGCTGCCATAGTTTATGAGTTTGTGAGCCAGGAGGAAAACACAACAAGTGGGAGAAGCCTAAAGAAAAGAAGTTCCTGTGTGTGGCCCTGAGCCATGTGTCCTGTAGAGACACATTTGCTGAGAACTGACCCGGGTAAGAAAGGGTGAGTGAGGTATATTTTCGTTTTTATGCTTCTTTTTTGCCCCCTATGTTTTCTACACTGAAGACATATTGCTGTTATAATAAAAATGAACTGGTCAAGGGAGAAGGAGGGATGGAACGAGGATAGTGACTGGGTGCAAGGGTGCAGTTCATAGGAGAAATACCTTCTATTGGTCTATAGCACAGTTTGGTAACTATGGTTGGCCACAATGAATCCTGTGTTTCAAAATAGTGGAAAGGGGCTGAATGTTCCCATCACAAAGAAATGACCCTTTGAGATGGTAGATTGCCAATTACCCTCATCTGATCATTACTATACATATGTATCCAGATATCACAGTGTACCCTATAAATATGTGCATGTGAAATAAATGGTCTGAAGTGGCGGTGTGTGTGTGTGTGTGTGTGTGTGTGTGTGTGTGTGTGTGTGTGTGTGTGTGTGTGTGTGTGTGTGTGTGCGTTATGGGCAGGTCCAGATAATATCAAGTACAAAACAGAAGGGAAGATCTTATCTGAGGGTGGAGGATGAGGAAGTGCTCTGGAGGAATCTGCTTGGGTGCGTGTGCCTGGCTCAGAAACACCCTCAGCACCCCAGGCTCTCCCCCTGCCTTACAGCGCCCCCCCATTATCAGTTACCCAGGGTGGAGTCAATATCAACTGGGACCTGCAGAGGCTTCGTGAGTCCCCTGGTCAAAGTGAAGTTTCCATGAGCTAAACTTCCTGTTTGTGCTGGCCGGGGGCGGACTCAGGTGAGCCTCCTGCTGTGCTGTTTTGCAGCTCGCCCGTGCTTCGTTGGGGAGTGGAGCGACTGGAGCGGCTGTGCAGACCAGTGCAAGCCAGCGACCCGGGTGCGGAGGCGCTCGGTGCGCCAGGAGCCCCAGAACGGCGGGGCGCCCTGCCCATCGCTGGAGGAGCGAGCCGGTTGCCTGGAGTACGCGACCAGGCTCGGCCGGGACTGCGGGCGCGCCTTCGGTACTGTGCTTCCCGGGTGGGGCTGGGTTAGCTTGATGACTTCTTGGCCTCTTCAGCCCATAAAAGCTCACGAGCTGAGCAGGGAAAGTTCCACACCCTGTGGGGAGTGGGATGGGCACGTCTGCCCAAAGTAGATAGGAAGCTCAGGAAACGTTTAATAAAGGAAATGTTGGCCATCTGAAAAAAGCCTCCCTTTCCCTCGCTTCCCTCAGCGTGTGTTTTTAACCCCATGGCCCATTCTCACTCTGCATGGGCTCAGTAATAGACCACATGTGTGCAGCCCCGCTTCCCCAGCTCTGCTGGGAATTGAACTCAGGACCGCACGATTGGTAAGTGCTCCACTGAGCTACACTCCCAGCTGTTCATGAGTGTGGCTTTTAGGTGATGGAGGACGTTAGATAGGATGATGCTATTTCGTGAAGGCTAGTACTTTCACTTTCACTGTGATTATTCATTAAGCAAGGGTTTAAACTAGCACATATGTCGGAGATTTAGCTCAGTGGTTCTGCCGTCTGCCTTGCAAGGCCCCGAGTTCGGTGCCTGGTACCAAATAAATAAATAAATAAGTAAATAAAATGTGCACACAAACAAACGTGCAAATGGTAGAAAAATGATAAGGTTGTTTTTTGTTTTTTTTTTTTGAGACTGGGTCTCACTATGTAGTTGAGACTGACCTGGAACTCACTATGTAGCCCAGGCTGGTCTTGCACTCACAGCAATCCTCCTGCCTCAGCCTCCTGAGTGCTGGGATTACAGACGTGCGCCACCACGCCCGGCTGAAAAATGATAAGGTTTTAAACAATGATAAAATGATTCTCTTAAAACACTTGCCTCCTAAAGCTGACAGGACTGGGTGAGGCCAGTATGATCTGATCTGTGACTTGAAAAGATCACTCTGGTTGTGAAGCAGACAGTGGTGGCATTAAAAGCAGTCTCGTTAATGACTAGGAGCCCCATGAGTCTCACAAGAAAGAATAGGCCAGGACCGATGTACTGATCTGGATTGAACACAACAGGGCAAAACACTGACATATCGGGATAGCAAAAACCCTGTGTTTTTTTTTAGGAGCAAGGAAACTTTCAAGCCAGCACATCTTTGCCAGCCATTTAATTCCTCCTTTTTCCCACACATAAATATTTATTGAGAATCTACTTGATGCCTGATGTGGGCTGGGCACCCAGGCTACAGTGGGGAGAAGAGTTGATGTGGAGCCTGTTCTCATGTGGGTCACAATTTAATAGGCAGGAAAAAAATAATCATATAGGGGCCAGGAATGTAGCTCAGTGGTGCCCTGCCTGCCTGGCAAGCGGGAGGTCCTGAGTTCTATGATGTGGGGGTGGGGGAGGGAGGAGAAAAAGAAAAATAAATCATATGTCCCAAGAAATTAATCCCAGAAATATACAGCTGTGGCATCTGGTACAGCTGGTATTAGATGAGTGAACAGTGCATGGAGTGCTAAGCAAGTATATAAGCTCTGGGGAGAGGAAGGGGCAGGGGCTTCCCTGGAGATGGGGCTGAGAAGTAGGTAGCTGTGGAGGCAGACAGATCAGCATGGTCAAACCTAGTCTTCCATGCAAGGGAGTTGAAGGATTTGAGGGGTGATCAGGAGCAAACATACAAGCACAAGAGACAGTAAGGCAGCAGGCGTGCTTACTGGGCAGTGCTTACTGGACAGGGTGGTATGAAAGAAGAAATCCTCACAGCATGGACTGTGCAGATGGTTATGGTGGACTGGGCTGGGTGAGGTACCATGAAGAAGGGGAAGAGGGCACAGGAGCACCCAAGGTAGAGGGCGGTTGAAGAGGGACCTTCTGTGTCTAGGTGATATCTGGGTTATAGCAGGAGTATCTGCATCAGAGAACTTCAGAGGACAGAGCCAGCTTAGGATCTTTCTGTTTTTGTTTTTTGCAGCACTGGAGATCGAACCCAGGTAGTACTAAGTTACATCACTAGCCCTTTTAAAATTTTATTTTATTCTTAAATTTTATTTTGAGACAACATCTTACTAAGCCACAAGTTCTGGATATCTTTTGGGGATTTTATTCTCCCTACTGTAGGGAGGTGGACGAGATTATTCTCCTTAGTTTACACGGGAGGATATTGGGGTTCTGGGAGTTGACAGCACTTGTCAAGTCTCTCAGAATTTAGACTTGGATCTTGTGGCTCTAAACCTATGGGTTTTCCCTTTTCCTCTTGTTCTTCTGTTAACTGTCATCATTAGTGTGAAAATGTGATTATAGATTCTGGTAACTAAGTAGAAATATAAAGGCTCCATAAAGCCAATGGACGAAACATGATCAGTGAAACTCTTGTCGATGAGCAAGTAGCTGTTGAATTTCTCCTATTTACTGCAAATGATTATATTTTATCACAAAAACAAATGCAAGGAGCTGAATTATTAAATTTGTTGCACATTACTGATGTCTACATAAATTTTCCTCCTAAATAGAGATCAGTGTGCATTACTATAAACTACAAGTTTCCAGGTAGCTATTATTTGTTGGATTTCCATTTTATTCTCTTCTGTACTCTATCTATACAGACCAGGGATTCTCAGCCTGCTTTTGTGATACCCTATTGTGTCCGAGGGCTTACAAAATTCCCAAGGCAAATTTAATTTACTTTTATGTTCAGAAGAAATACGTGCAGTGCCATGCCTTTAAAAGTGGAAGTTGCTGTAAACTGAACAATGGCAGGCTCACAGATTGCCAGAAAAGTTGGCAAATGGCCTGTGAACAAAGAATATATTACATTTGAATATTGTTGTCAGGAAGGGGAACGGAAGGGGAGCTAATATTTATGGAGAGAGTTTGTCCCAGGGCACCAGCTATGTGTTTCTACACATGAGCAGAAGTGGGACCAAAGGCATAAATAATTTCTAAATCATTTAACACTCTTAAGTAATGAAAATGAAGTATGTGGGGCATATTAAAAAGTGGCGCTGGTTTGGAGAGCTCCAGGCGATCTGGCTCCCAGTCTATTGCTAGCAACTCGTGTGTAGGGGGAGGATGCCCTTGCAGTAGAATGTGCCCTTGATCCAAGCCCTGGAGCTGCAGGGGTGAGGAGAGAGTGCAGGCAGAGTGCTGTGTGACTGGCTTACTTTCATGATGTGCCATAACTACAGACATTGTGCAGAAACGAAGCATAGATCATAAGTCTTAAAAAAACAGAAGATGTCTTCTGTGTTGGGGCCCTTTTCTCTTCATGGAAACTCTCTGAGTGTGAAGAATAAAATTGGCATGAACACATCTTTACAAAGTTTTTGTGAAGGGTGGGAATATATATGAAATTACTCTGTCATTTCTTATATAAACACAAGGGGCCATCGTAGTTCAGTCTGAATCTTTGCCTACTCTGGGCCTGATGGGACTTAAGAGAATCACAGGTTAAAATTTCCCCTTTTCATTTCTTAAATCTGTCTTCACATTGAGGGTTGTGATTTGGGACAGAAAGGGAAAATAGACCAGATTTGACTACTTCATGGACAATAGGCTGCTCAACAGTGGAGCTCTGCAATCTGCATTATGATAGGGTGATTCTGGAGCACATGATTTGGGAGACATTGCCTGCCTCCACCATATTTAGATTTGAGCCTGGAACATTACTTTTTCTGTACTGGGGATTGAATCCTGAGCAGCATGCCCAGTCTTTACCTCATTTTTTTGAGCTGTCCATTAAGTTTGGTACCTTTGAACAATGATATGTACAGTACAAATTAGGAGAGTGTGTAAATTATTTTAACAAAAGAAATACCCTGAAAATATTTTAGTCTGATGTGTATGATGTTGCAAGAATTTAACAGTTCATTCATTCTTCACTTAGTGAATAAACACTTGAATATTTCAGAAGAACAGAATTGAAAACACATGGGAAAACTAAAATCCTTTAGATGTTTTTGTTGCTGATCATTAGAGAGACAGAGAAGAATCCGGATACATGCACTCACTTCTTAATTTTGTGGATTTAAAAAATGCAAAGCTAGTCTTATTTAGAAGCATGACATGCTGTTTTTGGGAAAACAGTTAAACATGTCAGTGCAGCAAAAAAGAGCCCCACAAGCTGGGACTCTCGGGTTTGCTCTGGGGTGGATAATTTTCATACTGGGGAGATTAGGCACCAAGCCACATGAAACAAGAACCATGCCTTCAAGTGTTAGGAACAAGTGACCACCTGGCATTAGGCTGCTCTTGTCTTATATTTCCTAGTGCAATAAAAATGACTCTTCATTAAGAAAATCTAAAAAAGAATTGAGGCCTGCCCTCTTGTGGCAGCAAGGAGCCAGGCAAATCAGCAGGCAGGCTCAAGGCTTTTTTTCCCCAGCCAGTGCGCTCCTGCGGCCTTGCTCATGTTGTGAGGATGACCTTGGCATCTCACAAACCGTCTGCTTCTATCTACGTTTCCCAGGGTTGTCCAGTTTCTGAAATAAAAGGTAGCAAGGACTGTTGAACTATCTCCATTACAAGGCTCACGACAATCAGCTCTCCATATCCAGAGTCTACATCTGCAAATTCATCAGGTCAAGAATTGAAAGTATTTGGGAGGAAAATTGCCTCTGTACTGAACATGCACAGGGTTTTTCTATGCCATTCCCTAAACAACATAGTATCACAACTATTTATTAGTGTTTATATTATAGTAGGGGTTATAAGTAATATCCAGAGATGATTTAGAGCATGTGGTTGGATGTCCATAGGCTATCTGTAAATTCTGCGCTATTTTATTTAAGGGACTTGTGCACTTGAGGACTTTGGCATTCTCTGGGATTCCTGGAAAGAAACACTCATGGATAACAAGTAATGACTTTTATAGGAACAGAAGGCCACAAGGAAATAGGACTGTGTGCTTTGGTGGTGATCCCATGATTTTATTCAAACAGTCATTGAATGGACAATGCACTCAGTGTGAAGACCCTAGGTGCAATCTCGAGTATTCACCTCTCTCCCCACAAAAGGACTGGGAATGTAGTTCAATGGTAGAGTGCTTATCTAGCATGTGCAAGGCTCGGGTTCAATCCCTAGTAGAGTACCATACCATACAGTAAAGTGAAATGAAATGAAATAGGTCAGAGGCAGGAGGAAAGGTTCCTGGCTCCTTTCTTTCCTCTGCCCTATAGTGTCAGAGTCCGGGGCTGCTCGGAGTCTCACTGTCCTGGCTGGCACTGTGCAGTGGGCAGAGGGTCAAGGCTGTGGTTACTAGAGATTCCTTCCTTTGCTTCTGTTTTTGTTCTTTCTCATTTCTCTGTTTTCTCTCCTTTCATCTGCTTTTATATCTTTGATTTCTTTCTTACTTTATTTTTCCTATCTTTTCCATTTCTTTTCCTTTAGTTTTTAAAAAGGTCCTTTCTTTTCTCTTATAATCTCTATTATCTCACTTTCCTCCTTGCTTTTCCTACATCTTTTTATTATTTCCTACTGGTTTTTCTTCCATGTTCCTCTCCTTTGTTTCACAGTTTTGTTACTGCACACAAATGTGCTTGTCAGAGACCTGCAGCCCCTTCTGTGTCATCTGCATGTTCATGAACCTTTAAGTAATTTAGTTCTGCAGACCTTGTAATTTAGCCTCAGTTCACTGCTCTGTGGGGGCACCAAGATTTTAGGACTTAGAAATGGGAATGTTAGCCAGGCACAACAGCAGGTTTGAGAAATCTTGTTCTGACACTTTTGGCTGCATGGATTTAACATAATTTTGTTTTATAGTCCCTGCCTTTATAACTACTTCTGCATTCAACAAGGAGAGAACAAGACAAGCTGCATCTCCACAGTGGTCTACACACACAGAAGAGCCTGGGTAATTGGGTGTTTTTAGTATTATTATGTTTTTCCAGTCGTGTAGTCAAGTCTATCCAAGTCTATTATTTGCTGTGTCTGTGTTTTCTTCTGTGACTTGCTCACTGACTTCCAGTAAAACATGACTCTGCTCTAGAGTTGAGAAGGTACTTTCCCCCCTCCCTCTTTTAGTGGGGCCATACAGATTTGGTGTCTCTGAGGTCTGATCTCCAACAAACACTGACATAAAAAGGAGGTATTATCTGATTAAGAACAAGGATGCTCTCCCTATAATCTGTATAGAGCCATGGACCCCAGCATCATCTCCACAGATAAATTAGAAAGTGACCCACACTTCAGCCCAGAGGATTTCCTATTGAAGAGGTCTCTTCTACCATCAGAGGAGACTGGATGGCTTTATGCTCAATAGCCATAATTATTCCACCTCAGTTGTTTTGTTCTTGAGAAGTGAGATTATTAGTACCTACCACATGGGGTTGACGTACTTAATGAGAAAATAGAATTGCAGAGATGTTTGGGCTGGGTGAGGTTTGACGGAAGCCGAATCGTAGCACTTTTGATTTTATAACTAAAGGTACTAGGTAACTTTAGTTACTATTAAGCAGTATCTACCATTGTTAAACATCTTTGGAGCAGATTCTTCAAACACTTCCCATTTAAGTGGGATCCTATTATAAATCATTATTTGATGGATAAGAAATTAGCTTATTAAATTAAAAATGCCATGTTTCTTCTAGGACAATTAGGGTTTTTACTATTTTGTTCTCCTGAAGACTCGGAAAGTTGTGTTGCTTCTATATACAAGCTCTCAAATAGTCAGCACATCTGGATACTTGCCTGAGGACTTCAGCTCTAGTCACATGTTTTGCACGGCTCTGTGTATGGTGACACCAAGCTCTATCACAGAAAACACCACCCAGCTTCCCATCTCTGCTTTCCTCTGTGATGCCTGATATAAGTTTGGTGCTTGCTTTCAAGTCAGGACTCATTGACATGACCTCAGGTCATGCAGGTGGGCCTGGGGGTGTGTGTAGGAAAGGCTTCTAGGAACTCGTGGGGCAGAACAGCACAAGTGCTAGCCTGGATGTCAAAAACAAGCCTACTAAGGGCTCCCAGTTAAGGGTTCTCAGGCTCACGCCTGAATTTATGTAATTCTTTAGAATATCAGCAAAGTTCTCCAGGGTTGTTTTCCTACTGAAATATCACTTTTATAGACAGTTTAACAGTCTGAATGGACAGGATACAGGTTGTCCAAATCTGAAAATTCATTTTGACCAGATAATTCAGTCATGGATTAAAAAAAAAAAAAAAGCAAAAAAATTTCCTTGTGTTCTTTAGTAGTATGTTGTAGTTCCACAAATCAGAAACCATCAGCTTTGTGTGAATCCTGTGTAACTTGAGAAGTACTCATTCCCTGCTCAAGTTGGCCAGGTATCCTGGAAAGTAACAGATTTTTAAGACTTTCTGTGATGTTAGACCATCTCTAATTACAGCAAGTGAAATCCTGTCTTGTTTTGCTCTAGATACTGTATGGAGTTCAAGACCAAGTCCCTGACTCCTCATTGTGCTCTGGAAAAGCAGCCCCTGACTCGGTGGATGCAGTATCTCCGAGAGGGGTACACAGTGTGTGTGGATTGTCAGCCGCCAGCTATGAATGCTGAGAGCCTTCGCTGCTCTGGAGACGGTCTGGACTCTGATGGGTAAGGAGGGAAATGGATCCAAGGACTCAAATGCTTGTTACTTTTTCTGAGGATCTGTCCCCTCTTCATCCTGAGCCACTGACCACTATGTGACATAAGCCATGATCCGAGCAGTGTGGAGAACCATCTGTCCAGCATCCCCGAGTCCAGGGCTTCGGTTCTTACTGCAGGACTCAGAGGCTCTCTGAACATGGTTACATGGGGCTCTTTGGACACTGGGGTTCAGTTTAGGCTCCCAAATGACCACTAAAAACCTGATTGCTCCACAGCAATATTCTGAAGACCATTCGAATCTGAATCATTTTGAGATGGAGAATGAAAGTATGTAGATTCCTGATCCCACTTCAAATCAGTTAGACTGGAGTCTTGGAGAGGGGTGAATTTTTTTTTTTTTTTTTTTTTTTTTGGTGAGACAGGGTCTCACTATGTAGTTGAGACTGACCTGGAACTCACTATGAGGCCCAGGCTGGTCTCAAACTCACAGCGATCCTCCTGTCTCAGACTCCCGAATGCTGGGATTAAAGGTGTACACCACCATGCCCGGCGAGAGGGGTGAATTTTTAATATTCGCTTAGGTCAGAGGTCAGAAAACTTTTCCAGTAAAATGCCAGAGTAGATATTTTCAGCTTTGTATCCCATATGGCCTTTGTCACAGCTCATCAACTCCAACACTATGGCAGGAAAGCAGGCCTAGATGCTACCAAAGTTTATTTATGGACACTAAAATTTGAAATTCATAGAATTTTTTGTATCATTATGTATTCTTTTGATTTTCAACTCTTGAAAAAAGAAAAATGAGGAGCAGGCTAGAGAAGGGGGTCACAATTCGCTCAGTCTGCCCTGTGATTCACACCCAAGCCGGCATTTCAAAGCCAGGCACAATGGGGTTTCTTCACGAAATTATGACCGAGAGAATGGTGGGCTCTGCTCTATAGGGTGATAACCCCATATAAATCTATAGATTTTTCTGCAAGAATTGTCTCCAAAGACATTTTGCCACTCTGTAGATGGATCCCAGTCCTTACTTACTTATCAGTTAAATCTGGTAATACCATTTCTAATTAACAGAGGGTCAACTTATGCTAGAGCAGTTATTGGACAGGAACCAATTTAGGTCACACATAGATTATGGTTTTCAGTATGTCAGGTATAACTCGTCAAAATACTGATGGAAAAGTAAAATATTGACCTTTCTAGTTAATCATTATTCCCATTTATGCTTCAATACTTAATGATATGAATTTATTAGTCACTTGTGCCTAAAAGCCTTTATTGAATAAACCATATGAATAATAAACTAGGTAAGGAATTCATATCAAATGAAACTTAATATTTAGACTTAATATTTTTCCTGAATACCTCATCCATATTTTGACTTTAAATGAATTTATAATTCAATTTGAACCCAATAAAGGGCTTAAACCCCTTGCTAAGGTACTAGTAACTTTAAAAATAATAATCTTAATAATCTGGCTTTGCTCTCTTTTCCATTCTCCCATTTTTTATTACAAAATCAAAGACTTGGAAAGAAATGAAAGAGATCATTTGGTTTAGACCTTCCTATTTATTTATTTATTGAGACAAGGTCTCACTTTATAGTTCGGGCTGGTCTTGAACTCACTATGTAGCCAGGTTGGCCATGAACTCTCAGCGATCCTCTTGCCTTCCAGGTATGTGCCATCATTCTATTCAGGTAGACCCTCCTATTTTTTTCCCCCAGCATCAGGGATTGAATTCAGACCTTTTGCTTACAAGGCAGGCATGGCTCGATTGACCTAAATCCCTGGCCTGCCCCTCCTAATTTAAACATGCATGAAATAGCCATTTTCCTTATGTGGTGCTTTTATTCAGATAAAATGGGAGAAATGAATAAAGTAACCCCAAGAAACTCTTTCAGAATGAAGGTGTTCTCAAGCAATAAATTGGTAATTTACTTTGACAGACTGTAAGTAAAGGAAAGTCCCTTTCACTGAAAATTTTAAAAATTTATAATGCACTTCAAAACTGTGTGATCAATATCTTTAAAAAAACCCCAAAAAACAAAACTTCCATTTTCTAATTCTGTAAACCAGAACTTACTTTGGTTTGCTTTTAGTGTAACAACATTTCCAAATTATCATTTCAGAAATCAAACCCTTCATTGGCAAGCAGTTGGCAATCCTCGATGTCAAGGGACCTGGAAAAAAGTTCGGCGCGTGGACCAGTGTTCTTGTCCAGCTGTTCACAGTTTCATTTTTATATAGATTTCCATGTAAAGATTTGAAAGTGTGTTTATAAATGTGCTAAATAGTTTTATGTTCATCACATCATGAACCTTCACTGTTTGGCTGAGGTTCTGGAGCAAGTGTCGTTGCCACACATTGAGGTACCCGAGAAAGAAAACATAGGGCTCATTCTCAACGAAAACAACGTCTTTTTTTATTAAGATGAGGACCCACCATAAAAGCTCCTGTGGTCTTGTGTCCTTGACCTTCCATCTGGTCACAGAATATAGGTCTTGTCTACACTAGAATTACGACCATGTGACCCAGTCCACTTTTTGGTGAGCTGTTATTTCAGGTTTTCTATTTTTATCACACATGTATTTCCCATTTTATTCCATAAGTTGTGAAATAATTTCAAGAAAGTTATCAGAAATAATTTCCCACAGGACAAGTTGTTTAAAATTTCTAGAAGAATTTTGTAATAAGAAATCAACAGCTATGCTGGAATATTTTTTGGAGAAGAAATTTTCTTCAGTTAATTGAAAAGAGCAATCAAATGCTCATTCTAGATTGACAGATTTCCTTGAAGAGAGATTTTGATATCAGCGAATAAACAATTGCTTTCATTATGAAAATTCTATCACCATTCCTAGCTAAGATCATTCCCTAGGCTTAAAGCCTAAAGCTGAATAAAATAATCTTTCAGAAACCAACTTCAAATTTAGTTGAAGGGTGCTCACTACAGTACTGTTTTCCTATAGCATAATATATATATATATATA